GCATCAGCCCCAGTATTGGGGGATAAATTATTTGGCAGTGTCTTGGAGCCCCTCCTTATAGAGAATAGAAACAAAAAAGTGCTTCCCCCTCTTTTTCGGAGATCTGAAAACAGAACGCCCCAGTCGTTTCGAAGGGGTTCCTTTCGGCCCTACTATCAAGGCCCATACCTTCCCAGATCTCAGAGAACATCAGGTTACAGGCCCAGTTTTAGACAGGATAGGTCTGAATCTTCCGATAGAGGTCAGCGGGGAGGCCAAAACAGACGAAACCCCAGAGGCACTGGAGGCCAATTTTTTCATCGCCCCAAGTGAGTCCTTCACAGCAGTTCCCATTGGAGGGTGGCTAAAATTGTTTGCTGATCAATGGGACAGTTCCACCTCTGATGCGTGGGTCAGGGACACTATTAGGTTTGGTTTGGCGCTAGAGTTTCAATCCTCCCCCCCGAACTTTTTCATTAGGAGCCCTAGGTCCACGGACCCCATTAAGAGGGGTCCCATTAAGAGGTTGATGCAGGAGGCTATCAATCATCTCCTACATATTCGGGCCATTAGAGAGGTCCCATCTGAACAGCGGGGTCAAGGCTGTTACCCTCTATTGTTTGTGGTCCCAAAGAGTTCGGGGGGCTGGAGGGCAATTCTGTACCTCAAATGTCTGAACAGATCATTGGTTTATCGAAAATTCAAGATGACTACTCTCCAATCCATTCTGCTCAGCATCAGAGAGAACGATGTCCTGACCTCTATAGATCTCACAGAGGCCTATCTACATACCAATTAGACCTGCTCACTACAAATATCTTAGATTTTGCTATTGTGATTGGCACTACGAATATATCGCTCTACCATTCGGTCTGGCTTTGGCCCCCAGGACTTTTACCAAGGTCCTCGCGGCTTTGGCTGCCTCACTCAGGATCAAATCTATTCGCTTACAATGTTATCTGGATGATATTTTAATTTTGTCATCTTCCAGACACCAAGCAAACTTGGATACCAAGATTACCCTGGAGACCCTTCAGGGTCATGGCTTTTCCATAAATTTGGATAAAAGCCATTTGATCCCCTCAACTAGGTTAGTTCATTTAGGGGCAGTGATAGATACCGTGGAAGGCAAGGTCTTTCTCTCTCAGGACAGGTTAAACAGTATCCAGTCTTTGGCCAGAGAGATCAGAGCCTTAAAGAGGGTTTCCCCGGCAGTGCTGTCTCAACTGTTAGGCAAACTGATTTCTTGTATTTCCATTGTGCCTTGGGCTCGATTCCATTCTAGAGAGCTGCAGTGGTTCCTGCTACCTTTCCAGTGATCCGGAAAAGCCACTTCCAACGTCCGGATAAAGGTACCGCACAATGTGCTCCGATCGCTCCGCTGGTGGTCGGAAAAAACGATAAACAAGGGGTGTCCTTTCAAGGAACCTTACAGGGCACCGATCACAACCGATGCCAGCCTGGTAGGATGGGGGGCTCACTTCCAATCCCACACTGTGCAGGGAATTTGGACTATTTCCGAACAATCACAAAGCATCAACCTGTTGGAGCTGCGAGCAGTTTACCTGGCCTTACGCAGTTTCCTACCCGTTTTCCAATCATGCCACATTCTGGTCTTGACAGACAATATCACAACCAAGGCCCACATAAACAGACAGGGGGGTACCCATTCCAAACTTCTGATGCTGGAGACGGCCAAGTTGTTCAAGTGGGCCGAGGCCAATTTGTTTTCGCTCAAGGCAGAACACATAGCAGGGGACTTAAACACACAAGCGGACTGACTCAGCAGGGCCACGATAGATCAGGCAGAGTGGCGCCTACACCCGTCTGTCTTCCAGGAAGCAGTGCGGAGGTTTGGGCAACCGGTGATCGATCTATTTGCTTCTCCTCTCAACACCCAATTGCCCCAGTATATTTCAAGGTACCTGACTCGGGGTGGAGGCCGTCAATGCCCTACGATGTCAGTGGCTTCCCGGACTTCTATATGCGTTTCCTCCACTCCCGGTAATACCCAGGTTGATCCAGAAGTTATTGGAGGAACGAGCAGAATTGATATTGGTCGCCCCTTACTGGCCCAGGCGAACGTGTAAATCGCAGATTTACAGGACCTGTCGAGGGAACAACCTTGGAAAATTCCACCGTCGAAGGTTTCCCTCTCCCAAGGGCCGGTACTTCACCCGGACCCACAATGGCTCAGTCTAGCCGTATGGAGGTTGAGCGGAGCCTTTTAAGGGCCCAACAGATTTCAGAGGATGCTATTGCCACCATTCAAGCATCCAGACGGTCAATAACAAATCGTATATACGAGGCCACGTGGTCCGCCTTCTGTCGCTGGTGCCGGGGGTCTAAGATCGACCCAACTGCCCCAACAATAGGACAGTTATTGGACTTTTTACAGGAGGGGTTGGCCAAGGGCCTATCTCCAAATACTTTACGCAGACAGGAGGTGGCTTTAGCCTCGGTGATAACCTGGGGTGACCTCCGTTCCATAGCGCACCATCCACATGTCCGCAGCTTTCTTAAGGGCGCTGCAAACTTACGACCTCCTGTAATTCACCGCTATCCCACCTGGGACCTCAACAAGGTGTTAACCGCACTTACAACTGGCCCATTCAAGCCTTTAAGAACCACTAGTCCTAAATTCCTGACATATAAGGTGGCCTTCCTAATTGCAATCACATCAGCTAGGAGAATTTCCGAATTGGCGGCATTGTCAATGAGAAAGGACCTGTGCATGTTTCATGCGGACAGAGTGATTCTCCGATTGGATCCATCATTCACTCCTAAAGTAAATTCAGCCTTCCACAGAGCACAGGAGTTGGTCCTTCCAAATTTTTGTCCAAAACCATCTCACAGACTGGAGCATCAATGGCATTGACTTGACGTTCGAAGGTCCTTAAGCATCTATCTAGACCGCACGGTGGCATTTCGAAAATCTGAGGCTCTATTCCTATCCTTCAATCCATCCACTTTAGGGCAAAAGGTGTTGTCGACGACCATCGGTAGATGGTTGAGAGCCACCATAGCTAAAAGTTACGAATGCCAGTCCATCTCAGTTCCTCAAGGCATTACAGCCCACTCAACAAAGAGTGAACAACATCAGCAGCATGGGCCACACGGGCTTCCATAGACGAAATTTGCAGAGCAGCAACTTGGGCTTCACCATCTCCCTTTGTCAGAAATTATAAAATTGATGTCTATGCCTCAGCAGACACTTCATTTGGCAGAAGAGTCCTGCAGAGGGTCCACAGAGTTTAGGAGTGGATTTTGATCCAGACGGAGTCCCTCCCTAAGGACAGGCCAAGCTTTGGTATGTCCCACTTCTGGTATGTCCCACTTCTGGATGCTCTGAACAGCTCATGGGAGAAAGGGCATTGGTACTTACCTGATATGCCCGTTCTCTGTGAGCTGTGAAGAGCATCCAGCCCCACCCATTTCTTTCCGTCTGGTGGGGTTCCATTCCAGTCAGGGATCTAGATTAGGTGATGAGTCCCGGACTTTGGCACTCAGTCTTCGCAAAACTGGGGGACGCTAAGGAGGTGTTCCGTGGAGGAGGAGGAGCGTCCCGGAGTTTTAAGCCCAACCTTTCCAGAAGAGACTGAAGCACCTCCCACTTCTGGATGCTCTGAACAGCTCACAGAGAACGGGCGTATCAGGTAAGTACCAACACCCTGTTTAGATTAGTCTATTCAAGATGACTTCAGACATACATCTTGCAAATGATAGTGATAAACACTAGAAATTGGGAATGAGTCATAACAACATTTGCACAGCTCACATTGCTGCTTCAAATACTTTTCCTGGTGTTCTTTGTGCACAAAATAGCTGTGCACCTTTTTTAATGCTTTCTATAGGTCTGGTATGCAGATCTGGCACATCCATATCTATCCCCCTTTCCCATCAACTACAGAAAGGTACTATGAAGAGCTGCGGATGGTTAGCTCTCAAGCCCAAGCATCTGCAGTGTATGAATGGTAATTTAAAAAGGGAAGGATTTGGAAATGATTGGTTGGAAAACATTAAATGTTAATGTTCATTGCTTCACCAGTAATGTGTGAAGTGGTCCCTCATCAACCCTAGAATGTGTGTCAGCAACTTTTCATTTAAGCAATCCAGTCATGGCTGTTCAGGGTTGATTTACTGACATGGTGAAAGACAGAGAAGGAGAATGCATGTAAATAATTGTTACAGCAGTCCTAAATTGGAGTCTTAGGATGACCCAGAGGATACAGGAAGAGGACAGGATTCTCTGCTCTGATTTTAGAGTGTTGAGAAAGAGCAAAACTGAGCCCACACCTTCCTTGGGGTTGCCTATCTGTTTGTTCTAAGGAAGGTTAAGAGACTTCCAGTAAATGCATGGATAATACTGCATATCTTGCTTGCTCAGTTTTCTCTTCTCAGCACAGTAATGTACTGGTGGCTTTAGCAGAGGGCACTTCTAATTCTTGATAAAAGTAAAGAAACCTGTATGTATGTGTCTGTATTAAAAAAAGATCTTGGCATGCTTTGATGCAAGTTACTTGGATAAAACACACCTGAAATTCTGCAGAAGGTGGTGATTGCTTTATTGTAATTTAATTCTTGTCCCTATAAAAAGATGACAGAAGTCAAACAAAAAGTATTTTGTGCAGAGGGGGAATAATAAGTAGACCAAAATGGCCTACTAATGGTTGAAATATTGCAGCCTGAACACAACTGAAATGTCTTAAAGGAGCAACATCCTAGCAATGCTTTCAAAGTAAATCTGTTCTTACTGGTCATTTTCATGGCACTTTGTTTTATTAATACTCATCAGCATATTGGAAATATCCAGATGAAATGAAAGCTGGCCTTTTAATTTATTTATTTATTTATTTATTTATTTATCTTTAGAAAATGTTTTGCCTAATTTTTTTTGTTTAATAAAATAAATCCTAAAGCAAACGCTTTCTCTCTGAAATGCAATCATAAGGCGTGGGGCTTCTTGATTTATGTATGAAAACCAGGGAAGGAGTTAAACTCGCGATGTCTTCCTTTGGCAGCTTCAGATCAAGCATGCTGTGACTGAAGCCGAAATAAAGCAGCTGAAAAGAAAGGTAAGAATGAAGGCTGTGATGGCCATAAAATCCTTTGCTTCCCTTGGAGACTTGCCAAAATCCATTCTTGAGAATGTTTTCCAGAAAAGCTGCAAGAACTGGCTCTGTGGATGTGCCTTGTAATAGCTGGACTATTTTTAATAGTGCTGTGCAAAGTAATTGAAATGGGATGGGCAAAAGAACAAATGAAGGACTTTTGTTTGAATTTTCAAAGAAGCCAACCGGGAGGACATGGGCATAATCTATATTTAGCTTTTGCTCACTGGGTAGTCCTGGGCACTATAGTTTTTGTAAAAAGGGAGGTTTTTGTACAGTTAAAATGGAGTAACCCCCATATAAGCTATATAAAATGCCACCATGACAATTGTATTAATTATTTAATAGATAATTGTATTGTCTTCAGTGTTTTGACTTTCCTACTGAACTGCTAGGATGCTATCAGTTGGAAGTTCTGTCTTGTTATGCTTCCCTTCCTTGTTTCCCATGGTTAGATCTTTTGTCAAAAGTTGGAGGGCATCTTCTACTTTATTGCATGAACATTCCTTCTGATTTCTTTGAACTTTAATTGGAATATGTTACTTGTGCTTTTTCCTTTGTTGTTACCTATCTTTGAGATGAGCTATTCCATAGATTTAAAAAATGGTTTCTAAAATAGTTATAATGGCAATAAATCATAGCATATTTTTTTCTTTCCATAACAAGAGTTCTGCTGCGTAAGTTGCTAGCTGTCCACTTAAAACTTCCTTCACACTGTTTTAAGCTATAAGGCTCTTAAATCAGCTAGTTTGGTGTTAAAAACAGCTGAAGCAAGAATAATCCAGCTTGCAACATGACTATCTACAGCTAGTCCAAATCAAGCTTAGAGTACTAATTTTCCCTTTTCCAATAAAACTAACACCTGTCCACTATCATCCATGTCTGAAAGAAATGTTGCAACTTTTGTATAAGGCTGCTTATGAAGGATTTTAAGCATAGCACAAGATATTTCAACCTTAGGTTGAAATTTTTTATTGTGATTTCTACAAATCTCTACTATTTGCCATGATGGCAAATGGGCAGAATTCAGAAAGAAATGGAGACCATCAGATTCCAGTTGTCTATTCCTATCCCATCCTGTCCTAAATTTCTGTTGGATGTAAATTTATGTCGATGGGTCAGACACACCGTCACAACTAACAACAGCAAAAGATTATATTAACCTATCAAGATATATTCAGATTTTAAATACAATTGCTGGCTTTGTAAACAATATGAATTCCCCAAGCTTTTATTCCAGTGTAAAGATATGGAGCTGCTGGTGCCTATGAATAGTTGTTTGATTTGTTCTTTGTTTTTGTTGGTTTTTGTTTGGCCTTGATTTTCATTAAGATCATTATTTGTTTGGTTATTTATTTGATCCTACACTAAGTGAAATTAATGCAATGCAGCTAATTAGCTTATCAATTAACATATAAGTATTTCCTCTCACATTCTCTACAGCTACAATCAATTGAACAGGAGAAAGCTCGCTGGCGCATTGAGAAAGCCCAGCTGGAACAGAGTGTAGAAGAAAACAAGGAGCGGATGGAGAAGCTGGAGGGATACTGGATGGAGGCTCAGAATTTGTGCCAGGCTGTGGATGAGCACTTAAAAGAGACCCAGGCCCAGTACCAGACTCTGGAAAGGAAATACAGCAAAGCTAAGCGACTTATTAAGGAGTATCAACAGAAGTAAGAACTAGAATGCCAGATCTACTTCATAATTCTCAACCTCCATCCCTTCAACTCCTGTCCTATCATAAGCATTTCCCAAAGCTAGAGTACTTGGATTAGCACCATACCATCCGATGGGACTGGTACGCATATGGAACAAATCAGGTTACTGAGAATGGGCAGCAGCATGCCTGATCAAACCACCTATCAAAATAAACATAACTCCACGTGGTTTCTTAAAACACCTTTGGTGGTTTTAATGTGTTTTTTAAAAATCAAGCTGTGCATTCTGATAAAGAATGTGAGACATTCTTGATAAGGATGGGAGACAGATAGGGAAATAACTAAGCAAAATGATCCTCCTCCCCCCCCCCTTCCTTTTTTGTTTATTAGTTTTATGTTATATGTGAAGTACTAGCTGAATCATTTCACAGTTTGGGAACTAGTAATGAGTGGTTTTTCACAGAATATTTTCACTGTAGGCAGAAACTATAGTCTGATTTATATAAGTTGGATAGAATCTAGAAATGATTGAGAATGCTGGTCCATTTCAATAGGTATGGAATTATATGTTTAATGTATATAATCTACTATCTACCTACCCAGCTACCGGTATCTACCCAGTTTCTTGCAAATAATACTTCAAGAGAAAAAAAGAGATTGTTTTTTTTGTGCCCAATATATTAATTTTGTGTGTTCACTTATGAGGATTTTTGATGCAGAGAAAGCATTCAAAATGAAAGTGTCTGTTCTGTTGGGTAAGTTGAATAGACTGATTAGATTTTTTTTTAAAGCAGAACATTCACCTGAGCTAAAGGGTTCTAGAGTCAATATTCCCTGAAATATTTAGGCATACCCTGTTTCTCCAACAATATGGCCTCCCCCAATAGGAAGTCCCAGCATGTTTTATAGGCATGAAATGAAATTAAGCCCCTCCCCCCAAATTAAGGCCTATATTAAAACATGCGAAATGTGGGGGGATGGTGGGGGGGCTTGCCGTTAGGAAGTACTTTTGTTGCACACCTGGATATGGTGCTGCCTGCGTTGACCCCGATACGAAGTGCCCCACCAACGCCGAGGTCAACATCCAAGCTGTCGCCACCCGCCCGCCCAAAGATGCAAGGGGGGGAATTAAGTCACCCCCAAAAAGACAGCCTAGCCATTTTTTCGGGGCTCAAAAAAAAAAAAATAAGACCCGGCCTTATTATATGAGAAACACGGTAGTTTGCACAATTCTTGCTGAAGTTGCTACTAAATTGCCATTTTACTTAACAAAAGAGGAAATTATTATTTAAATAGAGACAAATATTTAATTAAGTTAAAATTTAATTGTTATATATTAAATAAAATTTATTTTTTCTACTGGGCCTGTTTAACTTTTTGTACATTCTTTTAGCTTGTAACACATCATTCAAATGCAAATGTCATTCTTTTGCCTAAAAGAAGTTGTGACCCTAGCGTGATCCATCCTTTTTCATCATTGGATAGTGATCTGCATTTCTGACTTTGGTTTTTAACCCCAACCTTCTTTTTCCACTTGCAGAGAAATAGAGTTCCTCAAGAAAGAGACAGCTCAGCGTCGCATCCAAGAGGAGTCGGAGTTGGCTCACAAGGAGGAAGTTGACAAGTTGCAAGAGAAGGTGGGCATCAAGGACAGTGCTGGGGGCTTACCATGACCCCAAAAGGGATGAGAAAAAGGAAAGGGAATGAAAAGAGATGGAGAGGCCATAGTTTTGCCTCAGGACACATGAGAGAACTCTTGCTGTTAGAACAACCTAGCTGTAAATATGAGCACTTGTCACAAGGCTGGCAGATAGAGGAGAAAGAGGGGGACATGCCGGCCTTTCTGAACTCCTTTATTGCTGGGCATGGATTATTTGACCTTAAGATGATTTCATCTGAAGCAATCATTAGTTAAGGGATAGCAGCGGGGAGAAGAGAGGGGAATATACTGAATCCTTCTATCTGATTGATAATTGCATCTCATACCCTTTTCACACAGGATCCTATATTTGCATAGTGGAAATCTTTTTATCTTTCTGAAGCTTCCACCAGAGAAATTTCCATCAGATATTGAATCCATTGTTCTTCCCCGCAGGTCCTGCAATCTGAGAAACTTATCTGATTTTACATCAGGGCATATCAGATCCCATATAGATCTCTAGAATTCAATCTTAATTTAGGATTTGTTCCTTCTTCATATACATTTGCTCTGAGTGGGAATTACATACCAGGCCTTGCTGACTCTGCAACAGATCTCATGATCAAATCTTTCTGTCTGTCTTTCTGTCTGTCTTGTTTGTCTGTCTGTCTGTCTGTTTATATCCATCCATCCATCCATCCATCCATCCATGATTTTCTTACTGGGCCATGGGGAATCTGCCACATCTTCGCTCTGAGTTTCTGTGATAGGAATGCCTGATATGGAAGTCAAAACCAAAGTGAAAACCTTTTCTGTGAATATCTTGGAAACGCTAATGGCTATTTATTCACTAGCTCCCTCTGCAGTGCATTGTTGGAAATTCAGCCCCTAAAAACCTAACCATTTAGGTCTTTCCCCTTATTCACCATCCTGACCTTGGTCATGGAAACAGATCCACTGATCATTAGTTACAGAAGAAAAGAGTGAGGTTCACAGGCACACAAGCTAAAGTTAGCAAAAGAGTCAGCATTACCTTTTTGAAGGAATTAAACTTTAGTTTTACATAAATTGATGCAATATTTTTTATTCCTGGGCTGCCAGATGGAAAACTATCAGAATTGGGGAATATTTGCTATGCTTGTGGTGTCTGGACAAAGTAAGATTGGGATAGAATCCAAGCTGGTATATCCTAGAGAGAGTTATTGTGTGCAAAATAATAATCTGGTGTGGAAGTGCACCTGTGTGAGGTAGCCATTGATTGAAAAAAATGATACAAATGAGCTGCCTCAATCTAGATTGTAGATAACAGATTCTTTTTTTTTTTTTTAATTTCTCTGTTTTCTTCCGCAATATTCAGGCTTAGGGCTTAGTTATGCCAAATTTTCCTTCCTTTACAAACTTTAACTAAGAGTATATTCCCTGACAGTTTTTGAAATCTGGGCAGTCTAATCTTTATCTAACCAATATAAACATTACATACATTACATTATTATGAAAAGTACAAGATTGCACTATAATTCCATTCCTTTTTAAAGGAGTTTAACCTTTATTCAAGCCACAAAGTCAAGGATTTAGCTCTGCTTTCCCAGTGATTGCTCCCATGATGTTCTCTTTTTCCCCAAACAGTTCTTTCATCATCATCGCTCCATTGATTTCTCCTTGACCTGCTCCCCATGTATGTTGCTGATCAACATTTTCTTCTTTCCTTCTCTGTTTTGGCACAGTAGCTAATTGTTCACAAGGTTTCTAAAACAAGTACCTTGATGGACAGTGCTGATGGAATTGGGCAGCCTATAAATAAATAAAGGACATGTTGGCAGAAATTTTGGGACAAGTGTAAGAAGGAAGGATAGCCAAAATTGAGTTTTCAAAGATGTTGAATCTATTTACCTACTGCAGTAATGTTTCTACGACAGTAGCTTTGTGATTGTTAAGTCCAAGCTTGAAAACGGAAGTGGGGTCTTTGTGATGTCTTTCATTGGCATGCTAAAAATCAAGGCTTACAGGTGTAGTCTAACATCTGGACACCCATAAGTTCCCTACTACTTAAACTTCAATTGAAAGGGTGGTTGATTCATTTATTCCAAAAGTGAACAAACAATGGTTCATGAAATTTACAGATACCCTAAGCTCCATTTTTGAGGCTTTTCAGAACTTTTCTCCAAGACTGTGATATTTGGCAGCAAAGTTACATTTTTTTCCCTTTGTTAATTCAGAATAGCTTTAAACAGATTTTGTGGTGTGTGTTTTTTTAAAGAATCTCTTTCCAAGATGAGAAAAAAAATATAATTTTCAAGTCTGACTTGGAGAGCACATTGCCTATATGGCTAACTCCATTTTTTTTAATCAATGGAAGTTTTTCATATTCTTCAGAGAAGTCACATTCTATACACGATATAATTGAAGCATTGATAAATGTTGCCAAATTACACCAATTCAGGAAAGTTTATTTGTAATGCCAAAAACATAGTTGTATTGAATCAGCTAGATGGACAAGTCCCAGATCTTTTGTGGATGTGGATAGTACACCCACTTCGTTTAATAAATGGAATTCTTGTCCCCAAGGACAGCCCCATATCCAAATAATCCATTATTATTGTCAAGAGTTTACATACATCCTCTCACATATAACAGTTAATGATCTGAAAGTATAATAGCACTATTATGGGAGGTAAGTCTATTTATTTTAGTAGAGGCTCATTTCTTCTCTTTCTATTAATGAATAAGAAAGTAAGTAATATGGAAATATCTGTGTCATGTGTATAACTTGCAATCCTGCAGATTTTTCTAATTCATGCCTTCAATCCCAATCAGCATGTTTAGTAGTAAGAGGTACTGAAAAGGTAATTCAGCAAATTATAAACAACTTGATATATAGCAGTGCAACAGGGAATGAAAATGACACGAAAAGAGATTAAAGGCCTAAGTCATTTGAAATCTGCAGTAAACAAGGTCTCCTAATTTTATTCATATACATTTTAGCATTAAACTTTCCTTCACTGCCCTTAATTATTTTTTCTCGCCATTTTTTTCCTTTAGCAATTTCTTATAGTTATCTGTCACTTTGAGCCAGCAAAACCATTGGTGTCTCCAGCCACATTACCTGTATTTCTTTCCTAAGTCCACCTACCTTTCCCCATCCCGAACACTCCTTACTCTGCCTGGAGAATTTCTCTTTATCCCTTTCTGTTATGTGTTTTTCAGATCTCTGAACTGGAGGCGAAGCTGCAGACTTTGAAAAATTCCAACACGACTTAAAAAGAGAGAGAGAGAGAGAGAGAGAGCAGAAAAACATATAAACCAACCAGAGAAATTAATTCATCTTATTATTAACTATTATTACTATTATTCGCAAGGGACATTTTTAGAATTTTCTTCCACCCATGCCCAGTCTTTATTCTTCCTCATCCTGTGCCTCGTTCGCTTAATTTTACTGCAGGGGAAATACTGTAAAGCCCAGCACTGTCAGAAGAACTACTACAGAAAAAGTAGTAGATGACCTTGTCATCTGTTGAGTATGAGGCTATGAAAGACCAGGTGGGGTGGTGAAATTCTAGATGGACGGCAGAGACACAACCCACCTCTTGATGGTGATGAATCATTGTCAGTTTCTGTGTCTGGTGTGCGTCTTGTGTCAACTGGAGAAACAGATCATGGAGGGTGGGAAGATGGTCAACTGTGTCCAGTGATGTATGTCTTCTGTCCCATCTGCCTGATGAGAATCTTTACGGATTGGGACTAATGCCCCATGTCTATACATTGACTTGTTGGCTCTTCAGTTGTGCAGGCAACTAGAACATAGAAAGACTCTGCTGGTGACAAATAAGACCAGCGGTTTTCATTTTGCTTCCTGAGTCTTAATCTTTTGAGCTGGGTGGGGTGGAGGGTGGGACATTTGTCTAGTTTTGAGATGGGAAGATCTTTAATTTTCCATCCTTTGGACAACTTGGAATCCATTGTTCTCTATGTTTTGTGGTGGGAACTATATCTGTTTTCTAACGAGTGAGCCAGCAGGAGGTTTTGCTGACCATCTTTGGGACAACCCTGTTGGCAACTGAAAAAGACATCATGATTGACTTTTACATCAGGGAAGAAGTATCAGCCTGTTTTTCTTTTCCTCATTACATTTTATTCATATTATTTTGGAAGATTCCTGGGAATCTACATTCTGGAGACTAACAAACTGGACTCTCTCAAAGAACTTGAGGGTTCAGACGTAATTGCTGAGAGCAAATATATCAAGGCAGCTGTAGCCAGGAAATGAAGCCAGAAACTTTAGGAAAATATGGAACTGCCATTCTGTATTTGCATCTCCAAAGGCCACCAGTTTGTGCTGGATCCATCTCACCACTGTCAGCATCAGGGTTTGCTGGGGAAATTGGAATCTGGAACTAATTAGGAGCAAAACGTGAAAACAAAGCCCTGGTGGTCAAAAGCAAAGTGTACAATGAATCTTGTCTTTTTAATTTAATGGTAAGGGTTATTGCATTTTGTTTTCATTCATTACATCAGGTTTGAGGACCACTGCACAGATCCATTTAGTGCTGGGATTTAGAGTTCATCTCTCTTGTTGGCATACTGTTCTCCCTGGCAGTGACACAATATCATGTGTTGCACATGTTACCCTGTCAGTATCTTAACTTCAACACATTTCTTTTCCGAAGGAACAATTAGTGTAAACAGTAACCACAGAAAGGTCTATACCTTTCTACCTGGGAAATACCTTAGCTACCTGGGAGATCTTATGCCACAGCAGTTTTGAGCTATATGAGATGCTGGTGGGTTACAAAAGCTGTCCAAGGTGCCACCTGACTTCAACTCTTTTTGTCTCCTACCCCTTTCCCTCTATTTAATGAAGCAAAGCGGAATGCTATAGTTGTTATTCTATGTTCCTGCATGCTTATGAATCATGAGCTAGGAAGCAAAAAGCTATTCATTCAGAATCAAATATTACACCACAGAAAAGAGATTGCAAAAGAATATTTCCATGGAATAGCAAGTCCTTACAAGCACCACAAGTCTTGAAATCTACTGTATTCCATCAGTTTTATGGTCAGTTTATAAGCATCGCAATGTTGGTTTGAAAGATCTATGTAACTGGGACTAATGGCCAGTGTTTTATGCAGGGATAATAATTAAAGAGAGTAAGGAAAAAACAAGACTTGTTGTGAAGTGTAGCATGCTGAAACTCAAGAAAGATCTCCAAAAATATTTTCTCTATTAATGGGCTTGGTTCATACAACATACCAAGCTATACTGTAGTTTGTTGGACATTTACCATGTGTAAATCCAGCACAATTCAAGCTTAGTCAATAAACTACAGTAAACATACCATAGTGTACATGATGTGTGAAACCAGACATGTCTATCCTTGTTACTTTCTTAGACAGAATATTTCTTGTTAGTTAATTAGACTCATTCTTGTGCCTGGAGTTTAGTTGAATGTTGTATTATTTAAATAATTTTTAAACATGCACTAATAATCAAGTCCCCATTTAAGATTTTGCATATAAAGTAAGTTCATGAGAGTTGAAAAACATGAAAGTTCCTTCCCTTGCTGGTGTTCTCCATGCTGGTGTTCTCCATGGGTTCACATGGTTCCAAGCCGGCAGATGAGGATTGTAATTCAGGATACCCAGAAGATACCAGGTTGGCAAAACTTCCAGAAACAACTGTTCTAGAATGTCTTCTTGTTTTAAAGTATATAATGTAAAGGGGGGGAGGGTTTCAAATCAAGCAATTTCTCTCATCCAATCACAGCACCACCTCTTGGACGATACCAGCCTCATTCTGGTAATATTAAGTCTCATAGTTTGATAGTATTTTAATGGCATCTCATTTATTTAATATCTACTACAAGAAGTGGCAGTAGAAGTATATTTTGTAAAGTTGTTGCTGGAAAAGTAACTGTTTTGTCAAAAGAACTGAGCTATGCCATTTCAAAAGCTTGGAATTAATTATTTTAAAATAGTATTCTGTCAGGAAAAGTCTAGAAGGTTTCCTTTAGAATTGTCATGTTCTGGTCCCCATGTGTTCATGCACTTTTCACTGTGGGTAAGAAGATCCCAGGATATTTCCTTCCTATAATTTGAGATGTGTTCTTGGATTAATACTGCTGTGGAAAAAAAGATACTGGTGATGAAAGAGATTGAATATCAGGGTCAGCATTATAGAAGTTGGTATATTTTGAAGGATGATGATTTCTTTCACTTATTTCTCCAGGGTTCACGTAGAAATTTCCAGATCCCATAATGAGGACGTGTAGTTTATTTGTGATAAAAATAATTTTATCCTTCATAATTTGGAATTCAAAGGTTTGATGGGTGAAAACTGTTCACATATAAGATGAGTATTCAAGAAGATCACTTCCCAGAATTAAGCTAACCTTTGCATATTTCTGTGATCTGTTTATATACTCACATTGGTCAAACAGTGACAATTTGGTTGGTTATTTTCCATGTTTAATTTATACATGGAATGGGTATTCTATCCACATGCCATGATTTATGAAAAAGGAACTTCAGCATGGCAAATATTTTGGATTCAGTAATCAAAAATTAAAAACATCTTGGATAAAGTCCAAGACTTTATCCTAGAAGTGGGGAATCAAAGGATTTGGGAAGGGGCACTTTCCTATATCCTTTATATAGAAAGGGTCACATTGTAAATTGTTCTCACATATCTATCGTAACGCTCACTGCTCTTGAAGCTAAAAGAATCATATTGTATGTTAATGCACGTATAACGTGGGGAATATGCATTTTAGTGCTCTGTGAATTGCTCAAAAGTTTACTGCAAGTCTAGTTCAGCCAATTTACAGCCTCAGTCCCCTTTATGTATTATATTTGTTGCAGCACATTTTCCATCAACCGCTGGGGTGATAATGGAGTTGGTTGTCTGACGCTTGAAGGATCCAGGTTCGGTAGGAACTTACATGTGTATGATTGAGTGATGTCATTCAAAATAACACGTCCTATACTATGTTCTCTTTATGCATACAGATGGAAGAAGTTGCAGAAATAGCCACAACAGGAGAAATTGTGCCATTCTCCTAATAACATGGGAATTCCCATACATACAAAATGAAAACCATGGAAAGTAGCTCGAAAAGACTCTCCTTCATCTCCATACTGAATTACAGCAGGTTAAGTAGATCTACATCCAGCAAGATAGTATAAGAGATACACAAAATACTCTAAACTGGATGAAAGGTGGACAGGGAACAGTAATTCTTCTGAAAAGCAGATCAGATTTAAAAGAAAACATCTTAAATTTAATCTCACAAATATAAATGTATATGTATATAATATATATATATATGTATGTATGTATGTATGTATGTACGTACGTATTGTTTCTGGTTTTGTATTCCAATTGTCCTACCATCTGGTCATAAATAGCAAGATTTTGTTTCCAACCCTGTTCAGTTTTTCAAACGTTGCAGGGGAGGAACTTGCATGAATGCACTTGGCTGACGTAGCTAAAAATGTTCTTCAAAAGAATCCTTATAGAAGAGCAAGAGGAAATTTTTGTATAGATAGGTGGATAGGATGTAACCCATTGATTAGGATTCAAATATAAAATCCTCTCTTCATCGTGATGTTGGCCTTTTTCCTTCTCTCTGTTTCTTGAACAAGAGCTATTTAATCCATCACCCAACAAGATAGCCAGGAATGGAAAGATGGCATGGAATGCATTTTTATGGTGTCTGCAATGTATGCAGACAAATGGATAACTGCTCCAGAAAGTCATACACTGAGAGATATTAATATGATTTGAAGATGAGGTTGTATAATTTCCATTAAATTCCATTATTGCCTTTTATAGACTTCACTTTTGGATTGCAGAAGAAATGAGTTATGAAAATATCAAGGCAGATTAATGCTGTGAGTCAAATGAAAATAGGAACAGATTAGAGAGGAGAATTGCACTTCCTTTAAAAATTGTTCTGCATCTGAGAATCACTGTTGGGACACAACAGTGATACAGTGATGTTTCTGGATGAAGTGGGATTGTAATGTTCACCCCCATAGGGAAATTGGGAATAAGTTTATTGTTGCTCTTAAAGCAACAATAAACTTTAAGCCTATCAGAGATTTCACAAATAGCTATTTATTTTTTTAAATGCAAAAAAAAAAAAAACACCCAACAGCATATTACTGGAGTTCAACAATTTGCTACAGAAATTTGTCAACTGAAGGGGGCTCCAGGAAGTGCAAAAAAAAAAAAAAGATGCAAGGCTACAGGTAACTTCATGGGCCAGAGATTGCCCTTCCTGTGCAATAGGACAATCTAAGACCAAGTGAATTTGTAAAAAAAAAGGGGGGGAGGGAGGCATTCAATTCAGAATTGAACTGTGTGATTCACTTAACCATTTAAATTTTGCCTTGATGTATTCATGGAAAGGCCACTCAACATCACAGGGGTTGAAAATATTTGAATGGAACTCAGAAAGCATGCTTTCAAGTAGAACAAAAGTCTACCACATCATTCATAAAAAGAATAAGGTTACCAAATTTGGAGGTAAAAGGTGTAAACAAGTATGAAATGTATTAGATTTTTAACCCTGCCTTCATTACTTTATAAATAATTCAAAGTGGCGAATGTACATAATACTTCTTTCTCCTCTTTTCCCCCCTCAACCTTTGAGGTGGGTTGGGCTGAGGGAGAGAGTCTGGCCCAAGGTCATCCAGCTGGTTTTCATGCCTAAAGCAGAATTAGAACTTAACAATCTCTTAAATTCTACGCCAGTACCTCCACCACTACACCAAACTGTCTCCCTTTTACATAATAATAATAATTTGGGATTAACTATAAGTTTGCCTGTGAAAATGTAGTTTGTCATTTGTGTTTCTAGACTGTTGTCATGCAAAATAGTATTGTGAAGGATCTTTGGTGCTCTCTATGCTTGATTGTTTCCTTGCTAGTCACTAGCATTGATAATGTTACCTAGTTTGGGTAATATAACATCTGCAAGTAAACAATGAAGTTTAGGGAGCACCAAGGATCCTTCACTTCAACCCTGAGCTACAAATATTCTCCTTTAAAGTAATATTGCAAATGTATATTTCCAAGACTTGACTGATTCACCATGAAAAACAAAGTGTTTGGCTTGATATTCGAAGACCTGAAAGCTACACTTAGTCCAATGTGTATATTAATAAAAGCTAATCAATCTGCCCTTCTAATAGCAAACTCTGGTACTGTTGCTAATGGCTGTGTAGTGAAATGGCGGTCAACAAACAAGATGAGGAATCCAATTGTTTTAGAAGAAGCATGGTGTTAGATCGATGTGCGGAAACAATCCAATAAGGATGGGGCTGTGCTCCATCCTTATTGGGCTACAAAATCTTACATGAGTAAGAATGGAATGGAGCACTCCGGAATGGACATAGTTACCTGGCAGGAATGCTGCCAAATTGCAACATTCATTTGCAGCTTTTCTTGTAGTGATAATAATATTTAAATTACAACTATACATGGTTCATTCTCCTCAGATAAATGATGCAGATAATCCTTGACTCACAATCATTCATTTAGCAACTGTTGGAAGTTAAAATAGCACTGAAAAAAAGTGACCTACAACCAATTCTCACACTTATTGTTATGGCATCCCCACACTCATCTGATCCAAATTCAGTTGCTTGGTAAACAGCATGTATATAGTACAGCTTTACTGTCCAGGGGTCACATGATCACCATTTGTGACCTTCACAGCTCCAAGCAAAGTCAAAGGGGGAGGGCTTGATTTGCTTAGTGTTCGTGTGACTCATTCAATATGGGGGAAAAGGTTATAAAATCAAGTGCGACTCATTTATCCGTCACTTCACTTAGTACCAAAAATTCTGATGCCAATTGCAGCTGCAAGTCAAGAACTACCTGTATAAATGAACAATTTAGATGATTGTTGATGAGTTGCTAAAAATAAAGGAAGATCCATCGTATGAAGACAAATAGAAGACAAGTCTGTTGACCGATACAGAATTCAACATAAATGTGTGTGTGCGCGCGTATTTCTTTTTTAGGGTAATTAGATAATTATGTATGTAAGCAAGCCACTTGCTAAATTAGGAGTGTGATGCTTATTGAAGTCTTGACTACAATTCCTATAATTCTTTGTCATTAGTCATACTAGTCATTGGGAATGTTACAGTCTCAAATCAATTGTGATTTAGTCGGTAATTTAGTACCAGAGACTTGCTGTACCAGGCTGTTGATTAATAGCACCACCTCTTTGAATCCAAGCATGTATACTAAGAAATAAAACTCAATGAACGCCTTATAATGTGTTCCCACTTTAATAGTGCAGTCTTGGTGGCTTCACTAATTACATTAGTTCGGGGAAAGAATACCATTGAAGCAACTTGTGTTAAGGACTTCTGATCTTTAGAAACACATTTGCCACTCAAATTTCATCTCTGGTACATTTTGAAAGCTAGGACTTTGGGGACAGGATATTGCAGAACTCAAAAGGATTTCACCACCTCTCCATTAGAAACCAGTTGCAGAATGATAGTTCCCCAATTTCCTTGCTTTCTCTTCTATCTAGAGAAATAAATATTACAGTGAGATCAAATTTGGATCAGTCACCAGGACATATATATTTGCCTTCATTTGTGAGGTATTACCGTGTTTGGATTATGGACCTGCAGCCCTGCTTTATAGTGAATGAGAATACAGTATAGGCCCCTTTTAATAAATATAACCTCCTAATTGGCTTGTCTCTCCAAAAGTGGAGAACCTTTCTGAAGCTCAACTAGTTCAGTTGGTGAAATTCTTGTAAGCCCATCCCCTTTTTTTCATCATACCTTGCTAAAGAAACTAGAAGAATCTATTTTTTAGTAACATAGAAAACTGACAGCAGCAGAAGACTTAGTGGTCCATCAAGCCTGCCCTTTGAGTTTTTTCTTTTTTTGAATTTGAATATTTTTTATTTTTTTATTTATCTTTATTTTTTATTTTTTTTAATATTTGTCAGGTGATCGTCAAATGTTTATCCCAAGCACGTTTCAGTCAGTTACTGATGACTGACCCACTACCTCCACTGAAAGTTGGTTACAAGCCTCCACTACTCTTTCTATGAATTTCTTTTCTGAAGATGTAAATTTGACATAATTTGAAATACCTTTTCTTGAAGTGAAAAATCAGTACATAAATAGATCTAGTAACTATGTTACCATCATCTCTAACAGCACATCCATATTGGCTGAGGAAGATGAGAGTTCGAGATGTGGCCTAACCTGAGAAATTCAGGAGCTAGTGAAAAAAAACACAATTTCACACACTGCACAAACAAATGCTCAGAAAGTTTGGTCAGCTTCAGGAGTATATTTAGAATTTGTCTACATGCAGTAGCAAAAGCAACTTTGCTATTGACGTGTTATGGGTGCTTTCCAAAGCATGAGTCCAAACAAACTGAACAGAATTCAATCTCCTCCCATTTCATTTAAAATATGTTCAGCCAGAACTAAAAAAAAGCTGAGTTGAGAAGTGAAATATATTCAAGGAAAAAGCAAAGTCCAGTTGCCTTTTGAAAAAAGGATAGTTGGGACATTCCTTTTTAACTAAGCTATTCCTGGAAATGAGGGAAGCCATGCCTAAGGTAAAATAGTCATGGAATAAGGGGACTACAACCACTATTGCAGGTTTAGGGAAAGAGTTGGGTGGCCGTTTGAGCTGGCCTCCCTGATCAAGGTAGGCATTTAGAGTTATTGCTTTTCCAACACATGGCTGGAATGTCCTATCTCAGTTGAATGATCTCCATGAAGGGGGATCTTCTCAAATAGCTTTGAATCCCAATAGCAATTTTGGAAAATTACACACAAGTCATCAGCTCTAAAAGTAAACAAAGAAAAGGTACATATGAGAAAAGAACATACGACACTGAACAGATATGGAAGAATCACACCAAAATCAAACTGATTTAAACAATTAGTATCATGGTGCACAGCTTGATACTGCAGGCCACGTGATCCCCAGATCCTTAAAAGTAGCCCAAAGTTTTTGCTAAAAGAAAACGTTTAACTGATAGAAAGGTAAATTTACTAAATAATCTTATTCATTCAATCAATGTATATAGCTGTTCAACTCAAATCAGTGACTCTGGGTGATAAATAATCAAAAATAAACCACAGAACAGAAAAGAAATGAAAAGCAAATAACATGAGATATTATAAACTATATATAATCAAGAAACAGCCCCTCACACACTCAGGATCCCAGGCTAAGGCACACAGCCAAGTCTTTAGAGGAAAAGGTGGGGGTAGAACCAGTGCTGCAGCACACAAAAGTGCACCACCCAGTCTTCACCAGCTGACATTTCTTTCTGAAAAAAGATTGCTATTTCTTAAATGAATAGGAAATACTTCACTATGCATTAGCCTCAAGCATAGTCTGTAATTACAACAATATCCCTCGGTCTCAAGTAGGCCATACAGGCAATCTGAAAAACTTTAGTATGCTCTGTGCTTTATTCCCCTTCTAGTACATAAAGTGTTTTATGATTGACCAAATGCAACATGGCAAACATTTAGTGGCAACTATTCAATATGGGCAGGAGAGTTCTGGAAGCTGAAGTCCATCCGTTTTAAAACTGTCAAGATCGAGAAATACTGATTTAATGAAATCAATCACGATATGCATTCAAAACTCCAAATATGCACATTGCCAGAAAGGCTGGGAAATCTTGATTTATGACACACATATCTGATTGGCTAGATATTTATCAGCAGTTTTTAAAAATTACTTTCTAAATGAGCAGGGAGTTGGATTTCATTGCTTCAATGCTACTATTTGTTTATCTATAACTATTTTTCTGTGAGCAGCAGTGCTTTCCTGTATGCTATGATTAGCTATCCTAGAAGATATAGGCTTATTGCATTATCAAATAATCTTATCTATTTGGATATCCAGTTATAATGGAATGGATACAGATTTGAATATATATAGGAAAGATCCTGTTATTGATATCCAATTTGAATTATGTTGATGACCATATCTGTAATATGTGCAATGTCTTTTTAATATTAATTATGCCATAAGCTATGGCCCAGCTGTATTATTAAAAGAGAATTCTGTCAAACAAAAAGAATGCATTGTTTTTAAATTACAAACATTAACACAGAGTGGCTGGGCAACTACCTTTTGTGGAAGCTTTAATCTATATTCCTACACTCAAGAGGACTTAGCAGCTAAGAACGCTTTCTCTCCTTTTAATCCTATTTTATAAATTCAACGAAGTTAACTGAATAAAATTTCTGGAGCTGTCCATTCAGCACCAAGTTCTTTACCTCTTCTGAACAAACCCTGCTGTCAT